TGGCCGGAGCCGCAATGCGCTGTGACGAAGTCCTGTAAATCCTGCGTGACACGGGCAGGAGGGTCCCCTTTATGGGATCGATGCGCTCGACAACTTGTAGAACCGACGCGGTAGCAAAATTGAAGGACCGGTCCTTGCATGTGAACTGCAAAAGAACCCTCAGGCCTAGTCGTTGACGCCCTTCTTCTCAAAAGAGGGAGGTCAATGTTGGGAGGACGTAGGAAGGCGCAACGAAACAGGTCGGTGCAAGATGCAACTTTGACAATTTTTTATGCTCAGAGGAATTTACAAAAACATATGAAAATTTGAGAATTTGTAGATTAGGTAATCGTCTTTCCAAGAAAAATATAAGAAACCCGAAAGAATCATCGCACCGATTCGGCACATTTTCCATTTTTGCCACTCAACCATGTGTGGGCCAACAGAAAAGGTACCCCAACTTCAATGATTTTTTGCGCTCATAAGAATGAGTGAAATAAACTGAAAATTGAGTGTGCGTAAATTTTGTTGTCATCTTTCAAAGAAAAATATTAAATAAATAAATAAAAATATTTCATCTGCAAAATAGATTGCGGCTGCAATTTGACCCGTATTCCATTTTTGCCATTCAGCCTCTCTCTCTCTCTCATACTCGCACTTAGTCCAGTTTTTTTGGCTACCTCAGGGCTACATTCCCCGCGCCCACGCGATAGACAATTTAGATAAGCACCGAAGTGTGGGGCATGGGCAAAATTCCGCCGTCGGATTAAGGACACAAAACTCAATTGACACCGGATATAACCGCAAGGACTATGCAAAAAGGAACACAACGATTTTATTGTTTTTCTTTTGATAGGGTCATGCCACCCTTTCCATAAGGGAGGGGGGTCAAGGAGACAATAGACACCCTAGGCGTCCGACTCGGGTTCACGAAGTCTGTCCGATCAGCTAGAAGTCTCATCATCTGACGGAGGGGGGGGCAGAGGCATCCAAGTCTAGAAGCTTGTTGGAGAGCTTCAACGTTGCGAGAAAGATTTGGAAATCGGATGGACACTTCGTAACCCAAAACCAACTTTGCTAGAAACACGAGTTTCCCAGCCGACGCTAACGGCAGTTAAATTGAGGCTTCCACATGGCGTGAGCCGCAGACCATGAAGCACTATCAAGTCCATATAAGGCAAAATCGGCGACGGGGAGGAAAATTGGTCAACCAATGCAAAGCCTGTAGCAAACCATTCACGGGCTGGCCTTGGGAAGGTAGTGGAATCCGGCCTTAAGTCAAAAGCAAAAACTTTGAAAGGTTTGTGCCACCCCCATTTACCGAGGGAGAGGGATGCAGAGGGTCCTCTTTTCTTTTTTCTCGTCTTTGTCCAGCCAAATGACAACCTTATCCTTATCTGCCTCTACAGGTTACCCAAAGGGCGACCTTATCCTTATCTTGCTCTACAGGTAACCCAAAGGACAACCTTATTTGAAGATGGGCAACCCTGGTAAGCAGCAACAAACGTCAACAAACTGTAGGTTGAGAGTATCTTAGATAGTCAAGTAGATGATAGAACAAGTAGGGGGCGAATTGCAAGATTGAATCAACTGATTGGTCAACGCTCGAGAGTCGGGGAGGAATAGAGGACTACAAATAAAGACTTGAGGATATGAATAAACACAGTAGAAAGAATTTCCATAAGCATTTTTTTTTTACATCGCGTCCTTTTGGGAGTTAATCGGACGAGGTTATTGCACTGGTATTGGAGCGAACTCTTGTTGTTCTAAAAGAGGCAATAGAAGGAAGGTGCCGACATGCAACGAAGGCGAACGAGTGCTTTCATTTGACGGTCAAAGGAAAGATACCAACGATTTGCAGGGAATTGGGGGTTAAAGTGAAAGTGCCGAGTATGGATGAAGAAGGTCAAGCATGGAGAAAAAAACTATTATGAAGTTATGTGGAGCGTCATCGAGCAACTAGCAAAGTGTCTCTTCAACCGTAACCTTATATCAAGTTATATGAGTCTGCATGTTGCTTTGCTGTTTGATGTATTAGTGTTTCCTTGAAATCAAGTGGCTATTTATGTCAAAGTCGGTAAGAAGAGGTTTGTTCCCAGTGTGCCCTAAGTAGACCAGGGTTGAGGGTCTAGTTGGGGATGGTGGGACCTCACCTAGTCATATTTTCCCGTCTGCGATGTTAAGTTTGCGGACTTTGTTGGCTGTCCTTAAATTGCTGGTTGACCAGAGTTAATTATCAAGCATATTCGAGTAGTGGAATTATTGATTTCGTCATGGAGTAGATGTCAATTGTAATTACGTTTGACGAAAGTCATGTCCTTCGACCGGTGGACGTACCTACCTACTGGCATGTATGATTAGCCTGTTACGCCCTTCTCACCTTCTCTGTCATATGGCAACTGCTGTTGTGGATGATTGTTTATCCATACGATTTTACCACTTCGGTATGCTTAACAACCGACTCAAGCCAAGTGACAATTTAAGGACTGCCACCAATGTCCTCATGAATTTTTTACCACCGTAGACAGGACGATGTAGCCAGACAAAGTTTCTCACTCCCAAACCAGACCATCAACTCTCAGTTACTCTTGTGATTCTGGGTATAATGCCTCGAGGGAGGCTGTCAACCCGACCCACTTCTTGGTAGACAGGAAAAAGTTTTTTCTCTGAAAGGTAATCAGAGAGTGCTTGCAAAACCTCTTCCTTACCCATCTAGACTGTTGACGTCAACAAAAATAACGAATGGCAGCTTGATTTATAGGAAGGAGTGGCACATGCATGAGCAAAGCAACTTCAGGTGCGTCTTTTCTCCAGGTTTGACCTTCTTCAGCCTCATTGGTCACTTGGACTTTGACCCTCACTTCCCTGAAACTCGTGGGTACCTTTCTCCAAGCCGCCACATCAAAGCACCCACTGGCCTATATTGCGCGATCCTCCTATCACCTCTTTGAAGATAATAAGAGTGCTGCAGCAATACCATTGCAACGACCTCACCCAATAACACCCAAGTATCAAACATGCAAGTTTGCAATTCATCCACATCAAAGCTCGAACTCAAAAGAAACGAAATGAAAACCACAAGAAAAATGAAGCTAACTTGTATGCAGCCAGCAGCTATGACTACCTTCATCTCTTCCTGCTAGCAGAAGTCCTAGCTATGGTGCCCTGCGTTGTTGACGACCCTACTGTCTCCAAGTCACACCCCAAGTCCTGCAAGCAAACAACAGTGCTTTATCAATAACTGGAACGAACAAGTATCTCCCTCCCTTCAGCATTGTAGCAGCCTTTAATACTTGCTGTAGTTTGCAATCTTGGACTTTAAGACCAGTACCGATCCTTAGCCTGTCAGCCGCAGTTGTTTGCCGGCTCTGGATTTCACTGGAATCCTGGACTTTCAGACCAGTACCGACCCTTAGCCAATCAGCCGCGGTTGTTTGTCGGTTCTAGATGTCACCAGATTTTCTTTGGATGCTGCTGATGTTTTTCGGCACGGAGATTTTGTTTGGGACTGGACTCTTACAGCCTACCGGAAACGTCTACCGACGAATTGGACCCTACAGCAGCAATTCGACCTAAGGGCGTACCAGTCAGACTATGCTACATGGAAAAGTGGGACATAGGAACTTCTGGGACCAGACCTGAGACTTAGAGGCAGAACTACTTGAAATCCTTTCACCGTACCAATCATTTGGAAAAAGAGTGAGGAACAGCTCTTGATGGGACGTTGATATGCTAATCATGGATCTGACTGGGAAATAAAAGAAGGCACGAGCCATAGTGACCATGAATCTGCCCCTTAGTGGACGTACGAGCTCATGTCATACACTGACTTGCTATCAGATTCTGGGAACTGGAACTGGAACTGGTACATGAGCACATGTCCTAGCGCGCACATGTCCCGGTGTCCATTCACTGGGATGTGGGGAATTGAGATGCTTAGAATTTAGAAGCTGAATCTTCCAGTCCTTCAGGACATCCGTTAAAATTGAAACGATACAGAGAATGAAGATTAGCATGGCCCCTGTGCAAGGATGACATGCATAAATCGGGAGACGGTCCAAAAAAAAAAAAAAAAAAAAAAA